AAGTTGATTTGATCCAGTGTTTGCATTTTGCTCCCTGACATGTTTGACTATTCTATTATGCTTGCACACACTTCAAATGGCAGTGTATTTGTCTCTAATTTTTAGATAATTACTCCAAATTTGCCAATATATGTTAAAAAATTTAAGTTTTGAACAATTTTTAGGTATCTTTAATTTGATCAAATAATTGAAAATGCATTACAGTATTTTAAAAACCATTAAGTACACATATGAACCTTTGGTACTGTGAATTTTGTTTAGAAAAAGGCTCTGTTGTAAACAAAAATTCACCGTAAATTGGTGCTATACCTCTTTTCCATTTTAATTTTATTCAAAAAAGTTTTGATTATCAGTTCATATCATTATGAAGTAAATCAAAATATTGTTATAAATTAGCATTGTTTAAGTTATTATTAAGTACAAAGCAGAATCCTGTTAGTCCTAATCAGGAGATCCCAATTTCTTAGAATTTCATATTCTACTAGTAGATATTGGAATTCTACTCAATACTAAATTTGAATTTGCACCGTTAAATTTATATGCGATGTTATAACCTCATCATGCAATTTCAAATTCAACTCCAAAACATACTCATTGACCATTTTGGTAAAAACATGTTTATATCTGTGCCTTGGAATCTGATGAAAGATATCCAAGAATTACATATTTCAAATGTCATAGATAACAACACTTTAAAAACTGAATTGGACATTTTGATTTCAAACAGTAACAAAATATCTGATGTTCATGAGTATGGTTTCAAAGGCTTGCATTCCTTAAAAATTCTGAGGAAAGGAAATATTGGTCTTTTATAATATATACTAAAGACATCTGACAAATTGACATAGGCAGGAATGTGTAACGACCACCTGTAAACGGATCGTTTGTTTATCATTACAATTTATTCTCAACCTTGAAAAGTTTACAAATTTTTTCGTTGGACTTTGAGATGATGTCGTGTTACTCAATAACCCACATTTCAGTTACTGCCCGCATTTTATGTATCCAGTTTGCGTTTGATTAAGGATACTACCGAAACTAGAATGTCTGCTTCATATCTTGATCTTTTCCTCGATGTTGACACAAATGGACGACTTCAAATTAGACAAAGGTGATGATTTCACTTTCCAATTGTCAACTTCCTGTTTCTCACGAGTAACTTAACCTCTGTCTCATCGTATTGCGTAAACACATCTCAATTGATACGTTTTTGTGCATGTTCAGTCTTTATAGACTTACTAAGCAATGCTGTCTGCTCCTTGCACAAAAACTGAGCCAACCGAGTTATGAGAAGAACATTTGAATCGACTTTTCGAAAATACTTTTAATTTCCTTTAAGGATTATGTTTATATGTTAGCGAACAATATTTTAGACATTTAAAAAGAATATACGTAAAAATGTTTCGTCAACAAAACAGCTACTTACGTGCTATCATTACGAACCATAAAACGATTTATACTATAGCGCTGTGCTAACATTACAAGAAGATTGATTTGTAAGGACTTCCTACAACTTCCTGCTCCTTTTGCTTTGATTGGTAGTTGATATTTCCCTGCCAGCAGCTCAAACGGCTTAACAGAGGGGATGAACATAATTATAATTACTCAAAAATGTTTCGTCTTTGACATTGTTTCTTTATTGTTATAATAGCTTTAATATTTCATCATGATCTGTTACTATTTCACCGTTATTTTTTTTTCAATTTAAGTAATGTTTTTTTCGTTTGTTTTGATTTTTCAAGACCTAGGAAATACGCGCTGTTTTCCCTTTTTCCTACCCACTCTTGTTTTGTTCTTATTTGTGCTCCTTTAGCTTTGTATTCATATTGGATTTCTAGCTCTTTTCTAACGTGGATATTTTCTTTTATAAAATCATTTTTCTCATCGTTTGATTTCTCATATAATATTTTTAGTTGTGATTCTTAATCACGTGTTGCATTTTTTCTATTGTTTGCTTTAATTTTATGATACTTAATACTATATTCCTTTATTTTTAATTTGAGGGAGTCCCACAGAAGTCTTGAATCTATTTCATATTTTTCTATCTTTTTACTATGTTTTTGTATTATTTTACTTATATTTCATACTCTTGGTTGTTGAGGATACCGTTATTAATTTTCCAGTATCCCGGGCTTCTAGTTTCAGTTGAGACAGATTGTAATTGTATGGAAACTGCTTGATGGTCGGTGCATTTAATAAGAATAGGTCTAATGATTATTTGATCTTTTTGTATGAGAAATAGTTGTTAATATTTTCTCATAAATGTATCTTTTTACCTGCTCTGCATTTTTTTTTTTAGATAAATAAGCTTATTCTTATATTGAACTGCTCAGGATCAAACGTTGGTCTTATGGTACGTCATTGTTCTTCTCGCAGGAAGGTTTTGAAATAAAAGTTGATTTTTGGTGTAGTTTCTGAAATTTTTCTGAAAGTTTTGTAAAACATTTAATATCCAAGATATTTTTGTTTTGAAATTTCTGTCCTTTAATAGTTTCTTAATCGAGAACTTTGAAACTTTTTACCAGAAGGCCGTGGTTTTTGTTTGCTATTTCAAAAATAACTTTGATTTATTCTTCCCTGGATTGAAATAGGATATATCCGTCACCTTTCATACGTTTTTGAAACAAAATTTAATTCTTTGAAGAAATATATTCCAAATCTTTGTTGGTAGATAGTAATATCAGAGATTTGAGGACTCGCCACATGTCTTTAGCTAGCTCTAATAATCTGCCTAAAACACTTGTTCTTAAAGGTAAAATTATTATTAAGGTTAAATACTTCTGTTATTTGTAGTAAATAGTTGAAAACATTTTTTGTTATATCATATTGTAAATTTTCATACATTTCTGAAGCACTGTTATAGCATCTAGAAAATTCACTAAATCTTATATTTGTGTAAAGGGAAAAATGGACGACCTCTGAAGAGAGTTTCTTTGAATACTGTTCCAAAAGATCTCGAAATATTGTACACGTAGCATGTCATCTAGCAAGTTTTGGGATCAAGTGTTGCTCAGTCTTTCTATGTTGTATTTTGTATACTGTTATCTGTCTATTGAGTTATTTTGCATGGCTTTGTCAGTTTGTGTTCGACTATCCCTTTGGTATCTTTCAATTCTTTGTGTAAGGTCGGAAATGTGATCCATACTAGGAACGGTTGGATATTGGATTATTGTACCTTACAGCTCAGTTAGTTTTAAACCGATGAACCCTGTTCCAATATACCTTTTAGTTAAAATACTTGAACAATTATGAAATCACTTTGCTGTAATAATTTTACATTAAACAGTTAAATGATCAGGTTCCCAAGTGTTTCTTATAATATTTATTATATAACATTCAATATATGAAAAATTGTGATCGATTTTCAAAAAGTCTTCCCGTACAACTGGACCATTATGTCCAGCAAATAAAGACAAATGCGTATCGACACAACGTATAACAAAACAATAATGGTTTTACCTCGTTGAAATGGAAATCTACAAACAAAACTACAGCCAATCGTTTTTTTCTCGAGCCTGCGACATTCATGTCGCGAAAGCGAGACATAGAGGTCCTATATACCGTCGGCGTCGGTTGCGTCAACATTTAGTTCTGTGGTTATAGTTTTTTTAGACATCAATAACTTTGTCAAATCTTCATGGAATTTGATGAAAATTGGACAGAAGACTGTTTATGACCAAACAATAGTATCCAGAGCTAAATTTGAAAATATTTATTTTCATGTTTCCGTATTTTAATGATAAGTGGACTTAGTTTTTTTACAGTTAACTAGGAGATACATTCTGGGTTTAGAGTTTGTTAAACATCAATTTCTTTGTCAAACCTTCAAAGAATTTGATCAAACTTTGGCAGCAGCTTTTTTTCAGATTGAGAATATGTCTGAAGCAAACTTTTGAAAATACATTTTTTTCATTTTCAGTATTTTCCAAATAGATGGACTTAGGTTTTTACAGTTGACATTTCCAGTCAGTCTGGGATTATATGTTTTTACTTGATAAATTTGCAAACCATCATGGATTGTTATGAAACTTGGACAGAAGGTGATCTTCGAGACCAAGAAATAGCATCTGAAGATAAAAATTAATTTTATTTTTAATTCCGTATTTTACTGATTAATGGACTCACTTGTTAAGTCAATATTACACTGATACACTGACAGCAGAAATCACAGGCGAGACACAGGGTTCCGCGGAGCCCCTTGTGAGTTTTCTTTATTAGAAACTTCCAAAATATGAGAATTTTACAGAAAATGAGATATGCTGATCATTAACAACACCTCCTTATATTGCATTTATTCATTATTTCCTTTTTATCATTAGAGTGTACTCTTCAACAAAATATATTAAAACATCCGGTTTCTTGGAAATATATAAGTATATATTATTAACCCTCAAGATTTGATTGTTCTTGACCAATAAAGTTATTTTTGATTTTGTGTCTAATGTTCTGATGATTTTAATTCATCGTCTTTTTTTATATTTTCTTTTGAACAAGGAGTTAAAATGAACAACGATGAAAGAATTGTTTTGCTTCTGCTCATGATGTGGACTATGTTTATATACGATGCCAAAACTTTATCGTGCAATTACAGCTTCAACTTTAAAAAACAACTTGTGGCCCATTGTGATAACAGAGGTTTGTTATCTGTTCCTAGGAATCTAAACAGAAATATCCAAGTGTTAGATCTCTCAAATAATTCAATCAGTGTCATCGAAAACAACACATTAAAAAACTATACGAAAATGGACATTTTGATTTTAAACAGTAACAATATATCTGAGGTCCATGAATATGGTTTTGAAGGCTTACTTTCTTTAAAAATTCTGAGGATGGAAAATAATGTTATTAATATTTCTCAGCTTCCTTCAAGAGTGTTTCGTTCTCTTGACAAGTTGATGGTTCTTGAAATAGGCAGGAATGAACAGCAATCGGCTGTAAATGGATCGTTTGTTTATCCTGACAATGCGTTCTCTACCTTGAAAAGTTTACAAAATTTATCAATGGACTTGTTTGACAGCCCTGAGTTCGGTGATGGATTTAAGTCCCTCCAAAATCTAACCGTATTAAAATTTAGGAGGTGTTACTTGAGATTCGGCAAAATATCAAATGAAACTTTCAGAAATTTTCCTACGAAACTAAGAGAGTTATATATTACTCGTTGTCATCATTTCTTTCACATAGACAAAGGAATGCTTCAGTATTTTCCTGAATTGAAAATTTTGGACCTGTCTCGTTCATATATTCATCTGTACCAGGCACTGAATATATTTTATCCTTATCAAAACAAAAACATGTCTGTTATCAATTTTCACCATATAAGCGACAAAAGTATAAATAATGACAAATTTCCGTATTCTGTAATAATTACAAAAGAACTAATGAGATATTTAAGCTCTATTTGCATTGAGGCTTTAGATTTGTCAGCAACAGGCATCGTAGATAATGAGTTTTATTCATTGTTTTCATTCCAATACCCTGAGTGCTTCAAAACATTTATCATATCTGCGAACAGATTGCCGTCTACGACTTTAGAACACTATATGCAAACAGTTGTTTTCTTAACAAAAGCTACGAATATTAAAACCTATGATATGTCTTATCTTCCTGGACAAATTGTTAAACCCTTATATCTTGATGTATATCATCCCGAAAAGATCCTTGAAAATCAAGAAAAACAACACAATTTTCCGAAGTCTTTTCATGTAAATATAAACTTACCGCCCTCACTGGAATTTGTCCGCTTTACTCATATAACGATAGTGTCTGCTTCTGTATCATTGACATGCAAAAATGCATCGCTAAAATATTTTGATGTTTCATATAGTGTTTTTGAACAGTATTCAAATGTGTCACATGAATGTGGAAAAGAACTTAGATATTTAGATGTTTCCGGGTTATCTTCAACAATGATGTTCCAGTCCGTGTCCCTACCGAAACTCACTACATTGAAAATGACTCATGCCAGCATTGACAGAAGTATAATTTAAGGAAGGCAATGGATGCTGGGACACGCACCTAAACTGAAAAGTATAGATCTGTCTTTTAATAACTTATGGACTATAAACATGAAATTATTTAACGATAACAACATTATGCACTGTAATATGTCCAATAACCTTTTCAGGACAATTCCCAGTAGTGTATCTAAACTCCGTTACCTAGAATCGTTAGATCTGTCAAATAATTTGATAACATCTTTAGATTATACTATACGAAAATGGTTCGATGAGATTATTGTGACAAGTCAGAATTTTAGTTTAAACTTGAATAACAATGCTTTGATTTGTTCATGCGATACTGTTGAGTTTCTTTTATGGCTTACAAAAACAGAAGTATCATTTGTTAATGGAAACAATTACACTTGTACAATGTCAAACAATTCGCAAGTGAATCTTATTGAAGTCACCAAAGATATCAATAGGTATTTCGCTGAATGCAAAGCTAACTTGTGGCTTAGGATTGGAATACTATTAGTTTCGTGTACTTTTGGTATATCAATACCACTTTCAATTTTATATTATTACAGATGGAAACTTATTCTGTTTTTGTTTAGAAAATTTAGACGAGCCGTCGAGAGAGGGTTACATGTAAATTATGAATATGATGTATATATTTCCTACGAAGAAAGAAGCATATCATGGATAAAAAAGCATCTCCTTCCAAAAGTTGAAACAGAATGGGGACTCAAAACATTCGTACATGACCGTGACCTTATTCCTGGAGAACTCACGTCAGATTCTAAAGCACTTTCAATTCATCAAAGTAGACATGTTATTTTTGTAATTACAGAACGTTTTGGTGAATATGAGTGGGGAAAATTTGATATCGAAAGAGCCAAATATGAGAAATACACACAAAATCTTATGAAAATTATAGCTATTTTACAAAATGTGCACGTCAATGATATCCCAGAACAACTCGTGGACATATCAAATGATGTTATCTTCATTAATTGGCATGAACATGAAACTAAAATTTCAGAAAATCAGACTAGATGGTTCAAATTAAAGACATTGCTTTTTCTTAATTAGAAAAATGGATTAAGAAAAATATGAACAACTTCATAGGAAAATGTGATGAAATATGTTAAAAACATTTTATTTACCCTTTATACATGTTTTTTTTTTCTTTTATACATTCGGTTAAAGTAGATATAGACTCAAATAGCCGATTATGTTCATGCATTGTTTTGGTAGAAATTTAAAAAGAATGGGTATAATTAAAATTCGAAGACATATAAAAAACAAACATGCCCATCAGCAGCAGCAACAACATCATCAGCAGCAGCAAATCCCGCCTCTAAAGGAGGATTTTGATTTTCCTCAGTAGCAGCAGCCACAATATCAGTAGCAGTTCCGTCCTCTAAAAGAGGAATACGAATTTTCTGGGTGGTAGCAGCAGCACATCCCGAATCTAAAAGAAGAATACGAATTTTCTGGGTGGCAGCAGCAGCAGCAGCCTCAACAGTAGCAGCAGGACCTTCCGCTATCTCTATACAACAGACCTATAGACGTGTTACTCAACAAGGCAGTCCATATATGTTCCAATATCATTATATGCATATTAATTTTTTTGAACATTAGATCAAACCTCAATTTTGTGATTATGAAAACTCAATACAGTTGAAGAGCTGTATGACCAAAAACAAAAAAAGGACTTCAAAATAATTGCCGAATCCATCTATGGACAACTTTGCTTGAGGGAGTTGAAAATGAGTTTTTTTTTTCTTAATTTATAATTGGACAATTTTAGAAAGGTATGTTTTTCATCATTTCTGTACCGACATAATTCATACACAAAAAATATCTACATATGTGTGTCTACCATAATTGACTGTTTTGTGAAAAATTGTCTTTAATTAAAAAGTTTACAAATATCTCGAAGCTCTGTGCTATAATTTAAGTATAAACACGTATATAAGATGCATAAAATCCTAAATAATACACCTACATTAAACTTTTAAAGCCCATAGCAACAGATGTAAACAATTCAAATATACCAACTTGGCCACTTTTACCTTCTCTTATAAAGAGTTCCATTTCTTTTGTAAAGTTCAACTAGATATTAGCCTGCTAGAAGGAGTTGACAAAAGATTTTGTCTATTTACACTATCCAGGAGATACTTTCTTGCAGGACATTTTTCAATGTACAAGTTTTTCCTACTTACTATAGTTTCCGCCCAAACGACAAAATTGATAAAAAGCGTTAATCAAGTGCAATATTCCTTTTAATATACAACTGACTTTTTCTGCGATGTTGACTAATTAGTACATGTTATCCTGATTATCTTAATGTTATTTACAGTTTCTCCTTATCTTCTATAAAACTTCTTCGACAAATCTATCGACGTTATATAATTTGGTACTATTTCAGCAAAAGATTCCGTCAGTTCCTGTAAGTTTGGGATCACATTTTTAAAGTCTTCTGTTTGGGCGTTTAAATGTCTGAATTCGCAAACCTATAACTTTGAGTTGAAGTCTTACTATTTGACGCTTCATTTCGGTTTGTGACCAATACTATAGGACTTGTAATGGGTAGCTCTTATTGTTCACTAACTGGTACATGATTCTCTGTTCAAGCAAGTTATCCAATTGCTCTTGCAAAACCTCCCGTTTGTAAGGGGGAAACCTGTACGTCTTGTGGTGTTTACCAACAGCATTTGGCTTAAGATTTATTTTATGCTGAACTAAATGTTTGTATCCAAGGGTCGGATTTTCTTTAGTCACAAATAAATCGAGACTGTCAAACAAACATTCAGCTAATTCCGATCAAATAAATCAAGATCTGTCTGAATCTTTTTCAAAATTCCAAGTCTGTCGATACTATCTGTAATGTCACAATGTTGTTTGGAATGATCGGCCCGCAGTCCATTTTCATTTACAACCAACTAAATATTTTTACTTCGGGTATCTCGGACTTTTGCCCGGGTCCTCCGCCATGTCGTGGGCTACAATCCTTATGTTGTCTGGTGGACTAGAAGATTGGAGTCACGCTTTTATATATTTCAACTTTATTCTGATGCCATCGATAAACCACATGTATGGCAGACGACACTAACTGTTCGCCGCAGACAAACATAAGAAAAGAATACAATCCCGTAAATTAACATAAAGCAGACTAAATTATGTTCTACATTTCCGGTGACCAGAAATATCAAATAGAGGTACATAACATCTGTGTCAAGTCAGCAGCCTGTAGTTCAGTGGTTTTCTTTGGTTCATGTCTGTCATATTTGTTTTTCGTAAATTGTTTTTGTTTACGGTATGGGTTTTTCTCACTGTTGAAGGCCGTACGTTTGCCTAAAATCGCTTATATTCACTTCATTTGATCTTTGGTGGATAGTTGTCCCATTGGCAATCAAACCACATTTCCTTATTTTCATATAGGTGATGTGAATTCATAAGATAAGTTTTGGAATGAGAGTGATAACAAAATGAGGGCTTCAGGCTACAGACACTTCAAACAAATGCATATTCATCCCATGAACCTTTGTGTTAAAACGAACGGGATAGATAAAGTCTAGATTCGCAGTTTTATTTGGGATATTGAACCCGAACATCAGACGCATACCATTACCTTTGACGTTTTCGTATTGTGCAGATGTTTAGTTTTTTTCGATTGAATGGGTTGTTTTAAAAAGTAAATACCCTTTGTGTGCCAGTTCAATTTTTATGTGTAGTCTACTTTTGTGTTAACATGAGGACATTATACTAATTATGTAGAGAAATCATCGCTTGCTGTGCAAACTTTACATGAAATGATCTGGCTTCACTGTATGTGGGATTTATGATCATTCTTGAATAGCACTCGCTATATGAAATAATGTTAACCAAAAACATAAGAAAAGGTCCTCCCGTACAATTAGACTTATAGATCTAGTAATTAACTCAAATTGCAAATCGACAGAATGATGACCTATCTATGATGGGTTTGTCTTTCTGTGTTGTGATCCGGAACTACGAAGGAAATAACAGTTAATCGTTTTTCTTTAAAAGTAACTTTCACAAAATGAACATTTAACAGAAAAGTGAGACATTCATTTAAATTTCCGACACACTTTGTAGTGTCTTCCCTTACAAATTACATTTACACTTATAGGTGTTTTCTTATCAAAGAATCATATTGACATCCGGTTTATAAGGAAAGAAAATGTAATTGATCCTTTAAACCAATTCTATGTTTGTGTTATATGTACTGAGTATTAAATTTGATATTCTTTTTTGTATACTTTCGATTAGATTTACTTCCTTGAAAAGAAAATTTAACGGAGATCTTTGAGTACACATATGAATCTATGGTACTGTGAATTTTAGTAAAGATTGAAAGACTTTTTGAAAAAGGCTCTGTTGTAAACAAAAATTCACCGGAAATTGCCCTACACCTCTTTTCTTTTCTGATTCAGACAAGTTTTGATTAGAAGTTCATTTCATTATGAAGTAAATCAAAATATTGTTATATATTATATAAAAATATTGAGATGTGGTATGATTGCCAATAAGACAACTATCCACCAAAGTTCAAATGAAGTAGATGTAAGCAATTATAGTCAACCATACGGCCTTCAACAATTAGAAACACCCATACCGTATAGTCGGCTATAAAAGGCCCAGACATGAAAAATGTCACACAATTCAATAGAGAAATTAATGGCCTAGTTTATAACAAAACAATTTACGAAAAACAAATATGAAAGACAAGAACCAACGACTATAACTGAACTATAGGCTCCTGACCTAAGACAGGCTCATAAAGAATCATTTTTAAGTTATTGTTAAGTACAATGCAGAATTCTGTTAGTTCAAATCTGGATACCCCAATTTCTATTGGTGGGTATTTAAATTTGATTTGTTTCTTGATTTTAAATACAAGCAGTATGAATTCCACATTCTACTAGAAGATCTTAGAACTCCAATGTGTACTAGGATGATCTACGTTCTACTGAATTCCAATGTGTACCCTTACATTTATATACGATATTAAAACCTTAAAATGCTATTTTAGCTTCAACGTCATAACATACTCACTGAGCATTTCGGTAACAAAAGATTTATATGTGTGCCTAGGAATCTGATCAGAAATATCCAAGAATTACACCCTCCAAATGTGATAGATAATAACACTTTTAAAACTGAATGAAATTGGACATTTTTGATTTAAAACAGTAACAAAATTTCTCTAATGTCAATGAATATGGTTTAAAAGACATGCATTTTTTTAAAACATTTTGGGGATGGGAATATTTTTTTTTTCATATTACTATGCTTTCTTCAAAATGTGTTTGTCCTTACCACAAAATGACGGTTCTTGACATAGGCAGGAATGGATAACGACAGCGTGTAAACAGATCATTTGTTCATCCTTACAATTGAAAAGTTTACAAATTTTATCATTGGATTTTGAGATAATGGCATGTTTATCAATATCCCACATTTCTGTGAGTGCCTGCATCAGGATACTACAAAAACTAGAGGTCTGCTTCATACCTTGATTTTTTCCTCGACATTGACACAAATGGACGAATTCAAATTAAAATCTATGACAAACGGGATGATTTCCCTTTTCAATTGTCAACTTCCAGTTTCGCATTAGTTACTAACCCTATGTTCCATCGTAAAGTGTTTATATATATATCAATTCATACGTTGAGCTTTTGCATGTCCACACATTACGGACGTACTAAACAGGGCTATGCTCCTTTCACTAAAACTGTGCTCACCGAGTTATGAGACAGAACGACTGAATCGACATTAGCGAATACTTTAATAAATTCCTTTAAGGATTATGTTCATGTTAGCGAACAATATTCTAGACATTTAAAAAGGATATACGTTAAACTTTTCTGTCAACAAAATAGCTGCTTACGTGCTATTATCACGAAACATATTAGGATTTACATTATAGCGCAGTTCTCACATTACAAGAAGATTTTTCGTTAGGAGAACAACAACCTGCTCCTCTTGCATGATTGGTAGTTGATATTTTCCTGCCAGCAGCTCAAAAGGCTTTATACAGGGGATGAACATAAAATATATGATACATTTGTATTTAAGAACAGGAAAAGTGCGTGACGAGATTCCAGGTGGAGACGATTTTGAGCAAGGAACCCCTAATTAATGAACATTCTATTAACGAATGAATCCGGAGTTGTTTTGTAACGTGAGTGGGTCTCTCCCAACACTGGTTGTGCAATTAATACATCCAGCACAGCTATAGAGGCACTTGCAAGAGTGGTTTCAATGAGGCGTCATACATTGATATAAATACCAATTTTAAGGACAAAAACCAATGTTTGTTAATATATGTTATTGCATTGAGAAGTTAGATTGGTATTTTTTTTTTTAGTTTTTTTTTATACCTATAATTATCTATGGTTAAAAGTTGTGTGTAAGATTAGCAGTGTGTTTAGATTCTAATTATTGTAGAATCAGCAATAATATTCGGCAATTCCGACATCCAGGTTACCTGGCTGTTAGGACAGTTAATGAAACTCTTAAAAAGTCTGATTACTATGTAGTAATTTTTGTCTCAACTGCGACAAAAATCGCAAAAGCCAGTTGTAAGGAGTCAATTATTTGTACAAAGTTTTTTATTTCCGAAAGTAGAAAACATGGATAATTGATCTCTTCTATATCTTCAATGTTCTGCGATTTCCGTCTTGTACAAGTCGGGTGTTGCATGCCTACCTGTAGTATGAGACGCTTATCCTGACACACCCGTTCTCGCTCTTTTAGCGTTCTGGCGATTCCAAGTTTTTTATTTACCTTGATTTGTCTCCTAAGTCAATTTATGAGATTTGAACATAAGTAAACTACAGTTTCCTTCATGGCATTTTTCCTTGAAGTATTATTTTATGTTACAACAAATATTTGATAAATACTTTTTACTTCTAAATATTCGATTTTTTTAAAAGTGTAGTTTATAATGAGTTGTAGGCCAACTTTATCTAACATATAGATCCATTGCAAGGTATTGTAGTCGTCAGACAGGGTTTATCTTTACTCACATTTCGTTGACCTCTTGTAATGAATCAGTGATCAACGTTAAGTTTTCTGGTTATGTACGTTTCCTAGAAACTATAATCAATAGGCCAACTATATATGAAATGCTTGTAAAGTATACATGTCCGTCTGAAAGGATTCAATTGCCGTTGACCTCAATTACATGGTTGATTGGTCAGTCAAGTTGCCATGGTTAGGTCCTTTTCTCAGATACTATAAACAACAGGTAAACTAGTTTTGTGTATACAATGAACGTAAGGTGTACATGTCGGTCTGGCGGGATTCATCTGACCTTCATATCATTTTCATGGTTCATTGATATACTTTAAGTTTTCGAGGTTGGGTCCGTTTCTCAGACATTATAAGCAACAGGCCAACTGTATTTTGCGTATGAAATGATTGTAATACTTAGTATGTACTATTCGTCTTGCATGGTTCATCTGACCTTGACCTTATTTTCATGGATCATTGGTAATGTCCAGTTTCTGTGATACTTGAAGTAAACCTTGATCATAAAGACTCAACACTACACAGAAAACCAAAGAAGGGTACCAAGTTATCAAGTAAATAATATAAAAAAATAACATGTGTTTAAAAAAGAAATTCACTTTTAAAAATTAAAAAGTATAAAAGATTGAGACAAATTTCAAAGGCATAGTAACAAATTATTAGCACAAAGAACTTTCATTAATTAACAATAAACAACAGTATAAGGAAAAATTGAGCTATGCAAAAACAAAAGTGAAACATTATGCTGAAAAAATACGCATTTCACCTACTACACCTGATATATCTCTAGGTGGTCAAAAGTATAAATTGTAACTACACATGTAATCTCTTGGTAAAAGATTTGGAAGACTATTAATATTTGAAGGAATCATGGATGCCTCCTGGTTATATTCTTTTCTTTTCTTTTTCTTTTCTAGACTTGATTCAATATTTTAATGCATCTTAAAAGTTAGTGTTTTATAACAGTGTTTTTTCATGAAAGTCATAACACATTTCAGAAGTTTATTACAATATATTACGTTGTATTAATCTTATTCCCGTTGGTGTTTGCTGTGACATTTTGATAAATTGCATTTGCTCAACAACACAAGTAGACAGTATGCTTCTCTTGTTATTAATACAAACACTACAACATGAGCCCATTAATATATATTAATATATATTAATTGTAAATTCTTTTGTTCGTTTTTGATATCAAATCACATCGTCAAAACCAATTATGGCATAATAAAGTCATGTATTAAACTGGTATGATTTTCGATTGTATCGGTCTTCGTCGCAAAACCTGAAACATGAAGATATATTTTAATTAGTTTACGATGAATAAACATAGAAATGACCCTGTGAAGATATAATGATGCCCTGATAAATGATATAGTATAAATTAAGTAATGTCGATATATTGAACGTTAAAAATAATACAGAGTAGCTCGTCACGCCTTATTCATTCTTGGCTTTCAAATGTCTTGGTTTGAGCGTTACTGATGAAGGTTAATCCCGAAAGCGCTTCGGAGGTACGATGCTAATACGTGTTATTTTCATTAATAGAAATACTAACCTGTGAAAGGTCATTATTTACCTTGATTATGATGCAAAATACAGTTTGTGAAAACATTTAATACATTTGATAGTAATCATGTGAGGTGGCCAATTGGCGTGTTACTCTACAATTTTCTATCTCCATTAGTCTTTAAAGGTTTTGACAGAAACAATTCATTCCATCATTAGTAAGATTGAAATTTACACACATAATAAAGAGTTTTGTTTAATTTATCGCTACAATGTTAAGCCTGCAAAATTTTCATAACACTTTAGAAACAAGCCAGATTTTATAACATTTATGAGTAGGATTATTGAAAAGTTTAGAATCTTGTTGATTTACACCGTCTTAGAAATCGTACTATGACCTATGGTTGTCCGTGGCTATTTTGTTTTTTTTTTGTTTTTTTTTTTTTTTGTTTCTTGTGTACATTACGATTTTGTGCTCTATTTGTACCAGTCGTAATATTTTAAATCATATATACAGTCTAAGGTCAAATTATGACACCTATACCAAATTCCCTTTTATTTCATATAAGGACACATTCTTTTAAAACATCGTCAAAAACTAATTTGAGGTTCGATTTTGAGGAATTGTTTAATGTTTTAACTCATTAATGTGTACAGTTTTTTTATGTTTATTATAAAATATTTTTATGAAATTTCATAACTTAGAATTCATTATTGGAATACAAATATTGAAATAAAGTGTCATTTTTTCCTTTATAGCAATATCATTTTTTCGTGAAGAAATTCATATTTGTCTGTAAACAGTGAAATTCCTAAAAATATAAATCATATATATATATATATACTATAAGTATTGCAAGAATCTGCAGACATTTCTGTATTTAATGAAAAAAGATTTATCGAATTTGGATAAGAAATATCTTCAGTAGAATTTGTTATTTAAAATGTGTTTTTATATGAAACGATAGGGAAAACATTTTACAGACTACAATATCCTATCATGCTTCTCAATTTTTTAAGTAAATATTGAATTGCCAGACAAAAAGAGAGAAGACAATTGTTCAAAATAAATTCATTTAAAATTGGTTAAAACTAATATGCTTTTTACGCTATAAAAATGTCATGAAACAGGGAAAAAAAACTTATCAGCCCTTTTATAAAATTGATAAGATAAATTGCTTACCAAAGTGACTTGTATTTTTCAAACACCGTAACAATTCAATTGTTTCTTGCTATATGCAAATACATGCAGCTTGACAGTGATTACAAACGTTTATAATTAGATTTGTTAGTTTTATTCTCCCTTATAATTGAGACACTGGGCGTGATTATACCTAAACGCATAAGAAAAGATTCTCCCACTTTATTATGATTAGTAAATTTGGGTACAATTTCCTGCAAATCCTTGCCGAAAACAATATTATATAACGGTATGTGAGTCAGATAATGCATATTTCAATGTTTTTCTTGTTGTATAACACACACCGGGGTGTCCAAAGAAATCATTTGATTTACAAGAAAAACCTTTATTTATGCATTATCTATGACGTATTTTTGAATATGTCTAAAACTTAAATGGATTATACATTACATCACACAGTCACTCTGTGTCAATTCACACCTAAAGACGATCATTTAATCTATTATATAATTTGTGCATTAATTTATACTTACGAGGCACATCCCAACATTGATGGACAAGTATGTCTTACACATGACGCACATGTAGTAGTATCGAACGTTTTCGATTCCATTCTTCCCAAAAATTTCAAAAGGTCACTTCTATGATCTTTTTTATATTCCTGATGAAAAACACAACACCATTGAAATAGTAAAATATCACAAAAAGAATGGAGAACGAAACATAACAAGTTGATACATTTGATAAATATACAGAGCTTATATTAATGTTTGCACAAAAAGGTTAAGACAAATAAGTTTATACAAGGGTTTAAAATAATTTGAATACTTAATATTTTGGAATAGTCATTGAAACAGGTTACCAAATCAGTGGAATTTAATAGTAATAATCGCATTGACTATATAACATATATAACTCTTCAACAGCTCTTTTTATTCACAAAAAAACACCAAAGGTTTCAATTCCCTCAGGCAAAGTTGACCTTAGAATAATTTAGCTCTTAATTTATGTCCTTTTTGGTCAATTAGCTCTTTAACTGTTTCGGTCCTTATACATCTTTGGCTATCAAATATTCGGCTTTATTCGTTCCCGATGAAAGTAAATCCAGAAAAGTGCTTCAAACGCATGAAATTAATAAAGGGTTCTTTCCATTTTTTAACGACAGAAAAAAGATCTAAATTGGTGAATGATGTACTTTTTAACATTTATTTCCATACTCACATTATCGTGTTGATGTTCATATGCTGTGTTGAATATTGCTATAAATATGTTAAGAGTGATCAGGGTGAATAAAGCCAAAAAAACTACAAGAAAAAATCCATTGAAAAACCAAACAATTTCTTTGTCGGAGTCTACGGCAGTAAATGTGACATAAATTTCATCCCCGTTAACAAGGGCCAGCAAAGACTGGAAGGTTGATGTCAAGGAGGCAAACTGGAAATGAAAAATAAGGCAATGCTAAAACCGAATTGTAATGTATGATATAGTAAGCAGAAAGAGCTTTGGTCAACAATACAATGCAGTTTTCAATTTCGATGTCGTGATTCTTTTCGTTTGTTGGCATCTATATTTAATTCAAATTTGTTGATATTACTACATCTGTGGATGGTTAAACCACTTACACCATCAGTTTTTTCGTTGCATCCTTAAGGAATGGCTTTTCATAATTCTTGAACTCAAAAACTTTCTCTTTGTAGGCGACGTACTCAATCCTGAATTTCATACAAACAATGTAATTGTCAGGCTGGTTAAATTTTTTTTAGAGAAATGAATTGTTACCAGAATCAGTAACATATGACAGGTTATCATTCATTCTTTTGTTTAGTCTTTGTCGTGTTTCATCGACACAAGCCAGACTACAAGGAGTACATGCAATACCGATCATAATATTAGAAGCAGTACTATTCAGATCATCGTGTTCTCGTGTATTTTAATTCAGACTATCCGTACCATATGTTGTTCTTTGTGGCTTGTCTTTGTCTAATTTTTATGGGAATTTTTTCTTCGGAATCACGTGTTGGCAGTCGGTGTAGTCTGTTGTACTGTGTGATATTTTTTGCGACTCCTGTCATTTGGTTTTTTTTTTATCTTTTTTTCTTATCTTAAGGTTGCTATAATTTGAAGATGCCTTCTGAGTGATGCCTTTTTAAGTATTTATCAAATGTATCATTGGAAATCTCTGTCTACTCCATTTATGAGTTATGTAAAAAAGGATGATTACAATAATGTGTACCTTTATATGATATGGTCCAACCACAGCCCATGCACATAACACAAACCCAGCAAATAATATTGAAACACAGGCTAGGAACTTTATTACAACAAAGGCGGATTTCTCCATCACAGAAAATATAAGCTGAAATATAATTTCATTGTATACAATATACTGTAAACCAACTAATTTTCGCGAGCGATTTATTTTCGCGACTTTTGCGAGAAGAAAAATAACGCGAATATAAATCGCCGCAAATACGTAGAACTTTGATCTTTCCTATTTAACTACATTAAATATACTTGAAAATCGCGAAATTTAATCGCCGTGAAGTGGACTAGATAGGGCTACACGCTAAATAAAGTATCCGCGAAAATAAGTTGGTTAACAGTAATCATGTAACACGATCCGCGAGAAGCAAAAATTTAAAACCGACTTAATCTCGTTAGTTCTTCAAAACTCTATACTTGGAAAATGTGTATTACATAGATAGAACAGACAATATTGACCTACGGCATTAAAAATACCATTCAAAGATCCTGATAACATTAAAGATTGTTATAATTAGAATAAACACATTGTCACTCTTTTTCAACATTGAACAGTTTTTTTTGTGTTAAGCATTAGTTATTAACGATGAACCAAGTAAAGTAAAATTTATTCAAAGATATCAGGCTATTCGTTCAATACGCCAGACGCTTATCGTCTATATAAAACTCAATAAAGGTGCTCGATTCAAAACAATTGGGAGGATAAAATCAGTTACAAAGATGAAAACCATTGGAAACAAACAAAATCAAAAACGTTACGCCAAATCTGTGGACAGCTTATATGGCTGGGATACAATAATCTTGCATTTAGAATCATTTAATTTTTTTCTTAACAGTAAACTGTATCAATGATATAATGTCAACACGGGTATACTGGTTACTGGAGTTGTGATACCCTCGAGGACGATACATCCACAAGTAGTGGTATCGACCTAGTGATTGCCAAAAATCACCAAAAATATCAGGCTCAAAATTGAATACATACGACGCGAGTTTTTTTTCTTCATAAGAACCATCAGTGGCGTACGAGTCAAGTCAGTAAACTATGGATACTCTCAGAGACGAAACTTCCACCTGCAGTGGTATCTATGTATGGTTGTAAAACTTCATTAAAGACACTATGCTCATACTTTAATACGCTGGAAGCGTTTTTCGTCTAAACAAAACACATCAGTATAACCTAATTCGGGTAGAAAACCAGGCTAATAGGTATTATACGACAACAGTGATTTTATTGAATAAAAACAGTTGAAAGACCAAAATCAGTAAACACAGTAGAAGAACATTGAAAAATCACAAAAAATGCTCTCAAATACTTCATATATTTAATTTTTCTTTGCATACGAGCACGAAGAATGTTAATCACTAAACCAAATATGTGTCTTATTTAACGTATTTTGTTAACACACCTTTTCATTACTAGCACTTGTTTAATTTAACTGTGAGTCTACAATGATATTATTCAAGCAAAATCACTTCAGTGCCGAAGTACAGATGCCTACTGAGCTGAGGATACCCACAGGGAGTAGCATTCCATCAGAAGTGATAATGACACAGTTTGAAAAAAAAAATAAGACTTTATAAATTTGGTGTGTCCGAGTCACTTTTCCATATAAATCTTCACAAGAAAAGCTCAAACATAAACCAATTGAAAGACAAATATGTATAATATAAATATAAGGCACTTAAAAACATGAACAGCTATTTGACCATAAGGAACCAAAAAAATAATAGTCAAAATATCTAAGGTCAACATGGTCAACTTTACCCGAGTGAAAATCATGTTAAGCAGCATAAAAAATAATGTTTTGAATATCTATCTTAAAGTTTTTTTTTGAAAATAAAAAGATTTCGTACTTAAATAAACCAAAAAAGGCTGAACGCTATTGAAGACAGGGAAATGTCGGGAAAAACATATTTGGATAAAAGAAAATTTTGAATTGTTTACTTCGTGCTGTAATTGCTTTTATACTTACGCCAAACACATGATCATATGCTAAATAGTGCAAGACACTGATCCAAGTAAACAGACAGCCAAGACCTAGGAGGATACCAGTTGCATCATACATTGATATAATATATTTTGTCTGTAGCTGAAGTAGAACATATAAAAGTATAATATAAAAAGAGAAAACCGATTTAGAAGTACTCGTTGATTATTGTTGAAACACTTGTTGAAGCTGGGGTCATTATTTTGGCTATTTTGTTATTGTAAATTCAATAGTCGTTTGACATTTTGGTTACATATAATTTAGAAACATTTAGTCATTTTTCAGACAAGGATATGTGTCTTGAAAAACCGATATATTTCTCCACATATCACCATTACAATCCTTAAATGCCAGTTGTATTTTAAAAGACAAATGTATCTACTAGCTATTGAGCATCATTTAATGTACTTTCTGCATTTAGTCAACTTCAAAATATTGTCTATTGTCTGATCGGTTGTCAGGGGGAATTTTCGAAAGTTCAAAAACATTTTGAAAAATTCTAATTAAATATTTCGTGGATGGCAGACTAAAAATTTTCAGAGGTCGAAGACTAATAACCCTAGATAACACGCACAAAAAATGAAGTTTTTTTGAAGTTATGCATTTTTAAGATCAAGTTGTAAAGTCTGTCGTCAAGTACTTTTAGTAAAAATTTGTTATTTGAACAAACCTACTCTGTTATTATAACTCATTAGAAAAGTATTTCACCTGACCCATATATTTCATTTTTTAGTACTGTGAACTTTAAATGTTATTAAATCAACCTGAAGCCTTAATATATAAAAATAATAGAATCTGAAGCGAGATGATGTATCAAATATTTTTGCTTTTTACGTTTTCAAGACAGAAATGTCAACCCAAACACGCCTGAACACAAAAAGGTGTACTCGACTTTCTCTTTGCGGTGAAATTATTGCCCGTTTTTAGGATTTTTTTCTTCAAAACCTATCACCGGGGCAAAGAAGCAACTTAATGCTTTGAAAAGATCAATTTATTATCATTCTGTGGATTTTTTTCGGCGGAATTTATGCTTATGCACAAAAAAGATCCACATGTATTTGCAACTACCACAATCGACTGTTTTATGAAAATGTGTCTATAATTTAAAAGTTTTACAAGTATCTCGAAGTTCCATACTATAATTTAAGTAAAAACACGTTTACAAGATGCATAAAATCCTTAATTATGCACCTTCATTAAACTTTTAAAGCCCATAGAAACAGATGTAAACAATTCAAATATACCTATTTGGCCTTTTTTACCTTCTCTAACAAAGAGTTCGATTTCTTTTGTTTAATTTCAACTGGGTATCCGCCTGAGTATATCAATCAAATAACACTCTTTAAATTTTCACAAGACATACCAATAATACTTAGATAGGAGCAAACAGATATTATACTAAAAGATGTTTTATGCAAGGCTCTTTATTTATGAAGAAAATTTTTTTGTGTAAGGCATTTGTTCATAACTAATTTTACTAATACCCAAGTGTCAGATTGCCTTTTTATGCCGAAACGTTAATTTCGGCATGTTTATGACATTATAGTGACACCACATCTAATTTCTCTGAACTTAAGTTTCCATATTATGCTCCTTATGTATTTATCCGTAGAAATGACATACAATTGACAGGCTTGGGGAATGTTAATATTTGTGCAATTTCCTTGGCCAAATAATGGATCGTATCATAGCCATTCTGTATATACTTTTAACTTAAAAATAAAACAAAATAATTTTCTATTTACGATGAAAAACTAACTAACCCCTTGATCAATGCTAATTTTTATCACCGATCCAACTATTGTAATACTATGTGAAAGGAATAGAATTAAATCATTTAGTTTAAATATTTCCCAGCATGCCCTTGTTGATAATATCTTTCCTGTCAAATCGTTGTAGTAGTCTTTTGTTTTCTGAAATAAACATTAAAAAATTATTGCGACAAATCTAAGTTTTTCTTTACGTATTACATGATTTATAAATATATTGTTATCATTAGACATATCATAAAGTCATATGGCACTATGAGATTAAAATCTCCACTCCAGTATACAATAACAATGCAGAATATGATACTTCTATGCATTTACATGCAAGTAATATGTTTGCATATCATCGCTTATCCCAGGTTACTTTTGACTTATCTAATTCTGATGCTTTACAAGACAAATTATTGTCTAAGAAGAATTTCATTTATCTAAAATAGAGCGTATAATTCTTTTGAATATTACATTGAATTATCAATTTTAACGAATATTTATGCAATACATGGTTGTCGTGTTGTAATAAAATCAATTGCATTACCTTGAAAAGTATGGCGGAAGTTATCCAACCTTGCAAACAGAACAGTCCATGCAGTACACAGAACAACAATACAAGTGCAGAAATCACAATGTCATGTGTTTTTGCTGAAATCATTAAGGAAATAGTTTTCAATAATTTATTCAAATAAGTCTAACTATATGAAATTTGCGCTTTGGTAGGTATTATGAAAAAGGGAGGCAAAAGATGCCAAAGGAACATTACAAATCATAAGTCGAAAATAAACTGACAACGCCATTGCAAAAAAGAACTAATGGCTGGGCAACACGAACACCACCGAAAATCGGGGTGATCCCAGGTGCTCCGGAAGGGTAAGTATATTCTGTTTCACATGTGGCACCCGTCGTGTGACTCATGTAAGTACAAACCCGCTGGAAGGTCTTATTCGGTAGGTCACATTCGGGGAAAAGAGGATGGGATTCTGGTTACGACAATTGGAACATATTCGTCGTCAGCTGTAAAACAGATATTCCATAACGGTCAACCAACTCGTGATGGAGTCGAAAAATTTACGATGGGATGATTTCAACTTCACAACTTGAAACTCTTAGTTTCTTGTGAGCACCAACCCTCTATCAAGGAAATCATGATAGGTAATGCAATCTCTTGAATATCGTATCAACTGGGAGATACACTATAAGCAGGTGCTGCTGGAATGTTACAGACTGATCTTTATGATAGGGAGGTATTTTCGAGTGAACTGATTTATGATGAGTATTGGCCAAGTTGATGGCATCGAGACCTTTGATGGCAAAGGAAAGTTATAGAAAGGATCTTTTCTACTTTTCATCATTTCCAATGCGAACTAGTTTGAAACATCTGTGACTGGCAAAATCCGAGATGATAGCTGTAAGTTCGTAGTGATTTGAATGGGGTTTTGAAAAGTGGTTTCCAAACTTAAGTTGTTCATATAATGAAGTTTTGAAATGGGTAGAGAATAAAATTCCCTGCGAATGTGATGAGTACTCAACGAGGAGACACCTGCCATTTCAGACGACACAGTGTCCATGGTGACGGCTGTTTCAGACCTTTTCATACTCGGCGACATCTGAGCCAGTATTCTGTTTGGTCTTCATAAATTCATGCATATTATGTTACTGAGCGGATGATGTCCTCGGGGACAAAATGTTCACCAGCAGAGACATCGAACCAGTGGTTGTAAAAGAGAGGCGAAAGATACCAAAGGGACATTCAAACTCATAAGTCGATAATAAACTGACAACGCCATGCCAAAAAAAAAGAAAAATTGTCTATATAGAAAACTGTAGCAGATAAACATTTGGATCATTATTACATACCAAGACACAATGTAGTCTCGATATCGACGGCATCAACAATATCGAGTCGATATCGACAAATAATGATTTAAATGTTTTTCTGCTACATCTTTCTATATAGACAATTTAGTTTCTCCTGGTTCGTCTAATAAAGATGGCGATATCGACAACATCGACGATATCAAGTCGATATCGACAAATTATGTTTCAAATGACTATCTACTACGATAATCTATATAGACAATTTAGTTTTTCCTGGTTCGTCTGTTTTAAGATGTCGATATCGAGTCGACATCGACACATTATGTTCCAAATGTCTATCTGTTTTACAGCTATGTATATAAACAATTTTAGTTTCTCCCAGATCGTCTATTTAAGATGTCGATATCAACGATATCGTGTCGATATTGAAAAATTATGTTCCAAATGTTTATCTCCTACAGTTATCTGTATAGACAAAAGAGGGACGAAAGATACCAGAGGGACAGTAAAACTCATAGATCGAAAACAAACTGACAACGCCATGGCCAAAAATAAAAAGACAACAGACAAATAATAGTACAGATGACAAAACATAGAAAACTATAGACTAAGCAACACGAACCCCACCAAAAACTGGGGGTGATCTCAGGTGCTCCGGAAGGGTAAGCAGATCCTGCTCCACATGTGGCACCCGTCGTGTTGCTTATGTTATTACAAATCCGGTAAATAGTCTAATTTGGTAAGTCACATTCGTTAAAAGGGAAGGGTATTGTAGTTACGACATAAGGAACATATCCGATATCATCTGTGAAACGGATATTTAGTTTCTCCTGGTTCGTCTGTTTTAAGATGTCGATATCGACGATATCGACGATATCGACGACATCGAGTCGATATCGACACATGTTCCAAATGTTTATCTGCTACAATTATCTATATAGACAATTTAGTTTCTCCTGGTTCGTCTGTTTAAATATGTCGACGACATCAATTCCATATCAACATTTAAACATTTTCTCCATAATTTGTTTCTCTATTTATTTCATTTAGTTTAGTATACGTACATTAATTACACATTACGATAAGGGGATGTTGCACGATTTGCAGTGAGACAACAGACCACAATACACAAAAAGAATGAGGATGTTAACAACTATACGTCACCTTACAGTCTTCACAACAAAGATTAAACATAATACCGGCATGACAAAATGTCAAATTTTTCAAATGGGAAAACAAACATCCTGATTTATGTATAAATGATAAACAAAAATCAAATATGACCGACAGCAACGGACGATTACCACTTAATCAAATAGCTCACGAGAAGGGTCAATCACAGTAAGGATGTGGCGAGGTTAAACTTGAGCTTTAAAACTTCCCTTAAATCTAGGACGGTTGTATATTATCAATACATAAAATTCAACAAATACACAAATTCACAAAGTACCGATCTAAGAGTACTCGAAACTATTCAAATAAAGTTAAAATCTAATTTCAACCCAGAGATAAACAATGTTTTCTCTGTTTGAAATGGGAACCAGTTCACATCCCATGGATTTGAATTTTACATAGCAAGTCAAGTTTGTACTATATCTGATTTTTAGATCTTTGTATGCAACCATATCTCACTTAGTTAACACCTAAATTACCATGTTAGCCATTGTCAATGTTATACAAGCAAACATTTTGTTTTTGTTTTTTTTGAAGAATACATTTATGTGTTTTAAAGGGTACATTACTTTGGAGAAGTGACCACCTGATTGTCTTTTAAAAAAATAAATAGATTACAATTCAGCCATCATCTATCCCTATATCAATCTTCCGTCTTAATTTATATATATAATCAGCTTGTTATGTCTTATTTTTATTCATTAATTAAGTCGATATCGAGTCGACATTGTCATTATCGACGATATCAACATCAGGTTTTGTCATTGGTGTCGTCATCAAAATCTACATCTGGTGTATAAGTTCAACGATATCGATTCAATATTGACGATATCGACATCTTGGTATGTCTTGGACATATATGAAAAACCGGGGGGAAATGGATTCCTAATTTGAAAGAAAAATGGATTCTTAATTTATCAATTTTAAGTGAATTGCAAAAACGTAAGATATCGGAATCATTGTCGAATTTTTTTTTGAAATTTTAACAATTAAATCTGCTGATTATTTCAATTTCTTGATATATCAATGTATCATCTTTTTTAAACTTCCGTTATTTTACATTTATTTGTTTTTGTTTTTTTTTTAATTGTAACAAAGGTTCTTGGTGTAATGTATTATTTGATTATGCATAACAAGTTCAGAATTTTAGCTATTTGTTTTGTCCATCTAATAATTCTGTAAGATTTTTGTGACAAATAAACATTACTTAATAGACTGTTTCCTTGATTCGGGTTATGTCAGTAGCGTACGTATAGGGATTTTGTTAAATGAATTGATATACTATATATTTTTCGTCACGCCTGTAAATTTTGAACTAAAATTCAAAAACATATCTCATTTAACAGGCAGATCTATTTGAATCATAATGAGAATTAATATTATTCTTATTATTATTAGTGATAATAATAATAATAATAATAATAATAAGTAGCTGAAATATTTAAGCCCCAGGAACAAAAATGGGTGATGTCAAGACTATATTTGAAAATTCACAAATAATTCATTCAAAGTGTCTGCCTAATTGTTTTACACAAAAATTCATCTTAACATTATTCCTTTAAATATTTTTTACCTCATAAAAGAGATATGTCATTAGTTTAATTGATATGCCGAAGATCTATACAATATATAATGCAAATATGTTAAATTTACTAGTTTCCCTACCATAATTTTAATAGTAAGATAAATAAATGCAGTAATAAAGTTACAATAACACAACACTATTTAACCATATTTAACATACCGTTTCTCGTACTATCTGTATTGCATTTTACTTCTTCGACATTTGTTTTTAGTTTAACTGTTATTTGTCCATCTATTTTTCGATTATCAAAGAAAACCTGTACCAATTATCAGATAAAAAGAACAAAATTTATATTTTAAGACTATTAACATATCTTTTAAAGTAGAAATGCAAATGAATGACTATTGGTTGCGCTCCAAATGATATCCTTTTTTGATATGTTATTTTCTGTGTTTGTTTTCTGAATTCAGTAGCACATGAGGTTGAACTAAATGTACAAATATTATCTTTCTTGCTAATTTGAACTTATTGTTGTCGAATGAAAGAAACGTTTTTTCACTCGTCTTGAGGATCATTCAAATTAAATATGAGTCGAATACGGTGATGTCAATGATGGACGGTGTGTGGGCCTCTACAACAACATGTATATGGTAACAGATATTTCATTATACAGTAACATGTTACCAGCATTTTATGACGTCCTTACAAATTTTAAAGAGAATTTCCCTCGTCACGATAATCATATGAAACCCAACCTGACAAATAAATGGAAGGTACTTATACATATAGATAACTTAGGTTCTACTTTACTGAGGGTCAAAGACTATAAGCTTCCACAAGCTGAACATATCATTCAAGAATAGACATAAAATTGAGAATGGAAATGGGGAATATGTCAAAGAGACAACAACCCGACCAAAGAGCAGATAACAGCCCAAGGCCAACAATGGGTCTTCAACGCAGCGAGAAAATCCCGCACCCGGAGGTGGTCCTCCGCTGGCCCCTAAATAAAATTGTGTACTGGTTCAGTGAAAATGGACGTCACACTAAACTCCAAAACATATAAAGGAACTAAAATTAAAAAAACATACAAGACTAACAAAGGCCAGAGGCTCCTGACTTGGGACAAGCGCAAAAATGCGGCGGGGTTAAACATGTTTTGTGAGATCTCAACCCCCCCCCCCCCCTTATACCTTTAGCCAATGTAGAATAAAGAAACACACAGCAATACGCACAGTGAAACTCAGTTTAAAAGAAGTCCGAGTCCGATGTCAGAATAGGTAACAAAAGAAACTAAGCAAATGACAATGATACATAAATTAACAAAGGACTACTAGCAGTTGCTGACATACTTGTTTTGTTTTGTTTAAACAGACGAAAGAGCAGCATAAAATTATATCTCAGTGATTTCAGTATAACTGACGTATTTTCCTTGGTATTTAACATAGACGATAGTAGAAATTTTACGAAGAGATACTTACAGTTCCGTGAATACCGAAACACTGTACAGCTTTCCCAGTTTCAGCATTCAAATGGATTGAACTTAATTTGAACTGAATGTTAACTGACAACAACCTCAAAAGAAATATAAAGTAGTAAAGAAATAATTCGTTCATATATGAGACATAAACATCAACATTTTCAAAATTATTGTGCTTATTGTCCATATGTGGAGTCTTAAAAATTCTAAAGAACTTCTGGACAATTTTAAATCTCGGTCTATTTCTGAAATTAATTCTAACATAACTTTTGATTTTTTAACCCTGTATACCAACATTACCCATGTGTAATTATAAAATTGTTTTGAATAAACATTGAACGACAAAATTTCTTATTAAGTGACGTTTACATTTTCTGACGTCAGACACGCGAAGCAATGAATGTGGTTTTTAATTTGATAGATGCTTTTGTGCTTTTTGGTAAATGATTATTTGTTTTGATATTGTAATACAGTGATAACTGCTGTACCCATATTTTGACTATTTTATTTATTATGTCTGTTTTGTTCACGCATCGTTGTAAATATAACGGAATTTGATGAGACTGTCGTACAAGTGAGAGGTTTAGCGCTATAAAACCAGGTTCAATCCACCATTTTCTACATTTGAAAATGCCTGTACCAAGTCAGGAATATGCATATGACAGTTGTTGTCCATTCGTTTGATGTGTTTTGTCATTTGATTTTGCCATGTGATTAGGGGCTTTCCGATTGAATTTTCCTCGGAGTTCAGTATTTTTTGTGATTTTACTTTTTTCAACAAGATTAGCAGACATAATCTAATATCGGATAACTGAAAACAAAACACCAGGAAATGACAATTTGACGCAAACAAATGTTTTTTTCCAATCCTGTATAAGTCAGAATAGTTTCGAAACTAATCAAGTATGTACATATGTCTTATATTTACAACAACTCCAATCATTACATCATGTTCAACTAAGATGCAAAAAAAAATGACGAAGTGTACTAAGTTAATGCTACTGGTTTCTGTAATTTCTTATTGGTTTTGCTCAATTTGAGAATGTATTTTTCGGTACAGCTTTGTACCAGTAAATCTAGATGGACATACCAACTGTAGTTAGTCAGGAGAAGCCTGACGCATGTTATGACATATTGAGAAAGCCATGTGATGGCCAGCAAAATGAATATAAACATGGGGACTTTGAACTGCAACTCCATCTGCAGTGTTTGATCGTGAAATAGTTGGTTGTCAGAAATTAGGTAAGGAAGTTGTAAGTAACAAAAAATACTTTTACAAATATATCTGTAAGCATTCACACTTTAATGTTAAAATGTCTTGTCGAAAAAATATAAAGTAGACTTTTCTATCATACATGTAGGAGGTTTAGCTAGCTATTAATCAGGTTTAAACCACCATTTTCTACGGAAAATGCCTGAACCAAGTCATGAATATGACAGTTGTTTTTTGCTTGTTCCGTTGATTGATATCGTTTGATTTTTGTCAGTTTTTATGAACTACCCCTTTTTGAATTTGTCTTGGAGTTAGCTATTTTTCTTATATTTTTTTTATGTTCTCGGAAATTAACAGAAATGACTTTATTGATAACAAATATCCAGTAAAAGCGTGATTCTAAATCATTTATGTTGATGAACGATTTCAGGGATTGGGAGGATCTATAGTCAATATCAACGTAATAACATTACAACAAACTATAAAATAAATAAGGTACAAATGTATTCTCACAGTATGTACATGCATACCAAATTATATTACCTCACGAGTTTTCCATCAGTGCTTCTCATCAGGTCTGCTATACTTGGTTGAAAGCCATATCCAGGAGGACTTTGTTTATCAATGTCTCTACAGTCTGGTAGTAAATACAAATATGGACACCATCAACATGCTTGTCATGTTATTGACAAGATATTTGGTATGTTTGGTTGACGTGTTTTTTTCATTAGGAAGTATGCATTTGTGGTTGAATTATTTTGTTTTCTTTTAATTTATGATTTCTCATAAAGATTTAAAAGAGGTCAGTCATTTAACAACTTAATCCGCTATGAAGATAATTTCTTATCAAATAAAGTTTGATAAGCAGTTTAACTCATTTAACCCATTTAATTTGAAATTAAAGATACAAGAGATATGACTGGGTTTGTTTCTTACATTGACCTTCACCTAGAAAATTGAGAGATAATGCCTGTGGAGGACTAAATGTTGGTCGAGAAAAATAACTGCAACTTCTGTATAGCAAGTATTAATCTTTTAAATAATTAAAAGATTATTCCAAAGATGAGTCAATTGCCATAACAGATTTAATGTCAAGACAAAATGCGTTCTGCGTATATTAATGTTTTTTTTCTCAATTCAATTGACCTTACATTATAGACTGGTACGAAGTATAGTTGAATTCAATTGTCGCAGGTATAGTCTCGACACTGCTTGCTTTCACTGATTAGTCTTTTGTAGACAAAACTCTCGCCTGGCGTACAGAATTTTAAGCGTGGTATCTATGATGAGTTTCTTTGTATGTGTTTTATACCCTTATATGTCTTATTACATCATTTGAGGCGTAACAAGCAACACAATCAGTGCCAAGATTGGAACAATTCGGTGCTACTGATCCTTCTAAAACACCTGAATTCATCTCAGTTTTCATATGAACTATTGCTATGTTTTCCTGTTTGTTTCGTAAAAGCACTTAGTTTAAGTGTAATTATTTTTCCACGGACATGTCCTTTTCTTCAAATTTGTTGGTATGAAGATTTGGGAAACTACGGTAAACGATTGTTTACAATACAGGTTACAAAATATACCTCTAAGGGATAAGACAGGAAACAATTATTAATCTACTATTGTATGATGATTTGTGATTAATTGTTATTTAGCTTTGGACAATAATATGAGTACCAAAATATCTGAATTTTAGTGGAAAGGTTATTTTATTATGATTTGAGGACCATAATTTGTCTTTTTGTAGTTTCTGTTACGATATTATATCAGTAAAAACCATATATATTTGGGTATCCCTGTATAAGACTAGATTTACGCATAAGCAACTTAAGAGGTAAGCTGTTTCTTTTTATTCAACAATAAATGGAGTTTAAGTTCAGCGAACATTTTTAGTGCTCTTGAAAATCTAATAAAAACGGCTAAAGAATTTAACACAGACAATGTAAAGGTAGCTTGAATAAAAAAAACAAACCAGCAATGCATTGTATTTAAATATCGTATTCTATGCGACCCACAAATGTAAAAAGTGCAAAAACGTTTGCCTAAATTTTCGTTAACATGACACTGGAAAGTAGGTTATGGCAGTTTATATCTTAGCTATCGATTACAGTTAAGTCTTTGAATGATGTTGATGATTTATGATATCAGCTGTCTATTAAACGGTGCAATACCTGTTTTACGAGTTGTATTAATTGCTGCAATTTTTTCTTTGGCTTCATTATATATTCCTGTTTCGAAGTAATGAAGACACAGCGTAACTGGTTTTTCCTTTCCGCCTGTACCGTTAATTCGTCGTATGAAGAAAGACCCGACCGATGTTGTTGGTATGTTGTAAACCTACGGATCAAAATAAAATGAAGAATTTAAAAAAGAGAAGTTAGTGAGCAATCGACTCTTTAACTCATAGGCTAAGTTTTATATCATGCTGCCCTTTCATGTGATCATTATACGTTACAGTGCTTCAACACTGGATGATTTAAATTTATATTATGATATTGATAAGTTTAGAAAATAATAAGAATCAAAGGTTTCCACTCCCTCATGTATGTTTGCCTTATGTGGTTTTGGTGTTCCTTTTTATGTCCCTTTCTGGTATTATAGGTTCTCAAGTATTTCAGTTTTTATACATCCTTAATTTGATTTTTATTTTGAGCATTCAAGATAAAGGTAAATCTACAGAAGCACTCGGACACACGAGTCATTTTATATTCAACGCATGCAACAACATTAATAACCCACTTTATCTAATTATTTTGTAAGTTTAAACATTAAAAAAGAAATGGAGATTCACAATATATGCTCCCGGAGGAGAGTATAGTTGGAAATATTAAGGCCGCAATTCCGAACTTAAAAAGTCTGATTTCTGACACTTCAACACCTAGTTAACAAGACTTAGTCATACGTAGACAAATATTTCGAAAGGGATACTTTTTATCAGTGTAATCAACACGTTACTTTGCGTTGTTTATTCACTAAATATATATAAAGGTGATAGAACTTAATAACATTTAAATCTTTCCTTGCTTCTAAGACATTATTTTCGTATTTGTTTTTAATGAAAGTGGGAGAGGAAAATATACACAAGATCAAGTTAAATGTTTAATACTTTCATACTTATTTGTGAATACCATGATCTTAAAATTGCATTCAGGGTTTCAATTCTCAAGTCAAATGTGCCCTAACACGTACATTCGATCGGACGAACGGACAGATATTGACCTATAATAAAGCCAGGTTACTATACAATAAACATTGATACATTCTTTATTATCATTTACCAAATTACATAAACGGTACCAATTTTTTCTGCACCAGATGCGCATTTCGACAATCAATGTCTCTTCAGTGATGCTCGAGGCCAAAATATTTGAAAAATCCAAAGCTTATTAAAAAGATGAAGAGCTATAATCCAAAAGGACAAAAAAGGTATAGCCAAAGCAGGGCAAGGAATCAGAGCTTTGCATGAGGGAGATATATTCCTTAATTTAAAATAATTTCACCAAAGAATGGGTATATTTTCAAAAGTTGTACGAGTTTTGGGTGGTCCAACTGAACTCATTTAGATCTTAGATTCAACCCAATTATGTGCTAATACTTACGTTTGTAACAGTATAATTGATATGCTCTAACAGGTTATCTATGGTGTAAATGGCATAGACACCAGTCGATGGAGGATAGGGCATAGTTTCATAATCCGGTGACCAGTCTTTCAACAACAAATGTTTCATTGCTATACTATTTCGCTCCAAAAAGTCAGCAAACTGTGCCCGATCATTTCCAAAAAGTACTAACTATAATAATAATGTTTCTTTTTAAACTGACTGTCATGTTGTAAATTATTGTTGATGAATATTTTCACAAAAACCGCAAATTTCCAATGACATCCGGAAATTACAATAATACTCAATACAACCAAACGATAATGGTCTACCCATTCAAACTTAATTGTTTAACCTTATTTATTTAAGGGAAGTTACTGATGTTAAATAATCAAATGTAATCTCATTTAACACATTACATACGGTAACTGATATTTCCTTGTTACATAAATCATTGCGTTACTTAAGATGCGAATGTTATCTCTTCTCATCAGATACCCTTAGATATTCTTCTTATCAGATACCCTTAGATATTCTTCTTATCAGATACCCTTAGATATGTAATATTTTAACATATCAACTTTTTTGGATCAGGGTTAGAAACTGGTTTTCCTGGCCCCTCAACAGTTTCATGCCGAATGCAAAAAGTTGATATGTTAGGACATTAATCTAATAATATTTTATTCTTCAGCTATATATGACAACTACAATAGCCATTAAATCTATTCAAAAACAAAATTATTTTCCTTCCTCATAGTGTGCTGGAAAGTGATCGACATTGTCGCACTTAGTTGTGACTATATATAGCAATAAAAGACATCAGGAAGTGTTCAATCTGCAATATAAAACATGATAACTAGGACCATCCGAGCAGGTGATCATAGAAATGTCATTATTTTAAGCATCCAAATAAATATTTCACTTCATAGATATATTTTTTGATTATCTAATAGATTATTTTTTATTGAATTTTTCATTTGACGATATTTACCTAAGATAATGAATTAGGTCAGATGTAGGGGGTCACGATTCGGTCATAATTTGAAAAAATGTTACAATAAAATTCTGATCAATAGACAGGATTTTTAGTGTCTTTATAGAATGTAAATTTGTAATTCGCCACTTGTCTTGAAAAGTATGAATAAAACTGCCATTGCCATCAAATTCTGTAAAAAAAAACCAATATAAATGTACTTAGCATTTTAATACTAAAATATATGCAATTGATACATGTAGCAAACATATAGACAAAGGAAGTTTTTTGTCTTTCTTTTGTCCTGCATCACAAGAGATTGGTATAATTTGACGAAAAGAAAACGTAAATCTAATATCCAGTCATGAAGACCCTTTTGATAATAATACATAAAAAGTATAAATATAAACCGTTTTAACCTGTTGATAATATCCTTTTAACAATTCACTATGAAAAGCAGCTCATGAATCTCAAGGTCATAACATGTATTATAATTTTACGTTTAATGGTACATGTTTTCTATCAATAGTTAACACGAGTACATGTACTCAATTATTCAACGCTTGTCAGAAATCATTGAAATTATTTCTTAAATAAGAAGTTGATTACAAAATTATGAATTGAAATTTATTTGATGTAATATTTGAACGATTTAAAAAAAAAACAACTAATACAAGATATGTTTTTGAATATGTGTAATAAAAGAACATTACAGTACAAAATGTAACATGGCAATAAAAAATCAGCACATATGTAAAGAATCTATACTTAGTGAAATACATGTAATATGTATTTTAAAAACAAACTAACCTGATATGTGCAGAAAAACCATACCAAAGGTAGAAGAATGAGTTTTTCTGGTATCCTACCAAGACCACGATCCCTACATATCCGTGTGTATGGATCTTTGAAATGATTATCAAGTTTCTTTAGAAGTGCTTCATCACGTCTTCCTTCGCTAGCTGAATGGTGTTGGTCATGATCTGCACATAAAACTTTCTTAAATGTTTTTTGCAACTTAACTAGATAAATGAAATGAAATATTATGCTTTATTCTGAAATGAGACTCAAATTATTGCATGAAAATTGAGAAAAGATGTCAAAATGACGAAACAGGAGGAAGATCAATTACTTGATTTCATATTATATCTTACATGCAGCTAATGTTTTAAGTAACAATATCTCACATTTACCTTCCAAGTTTTGGTCCGCAGACGTCATTACAAAACCGACACGTCCACGTGCCTTTTGCACATCTCCATTGCCAGACGTGTCTGCTATAGGTGTTGCCATACTTATAATCAACTTTTTTTTGAATTTTTGATTATTCACCTGACGTTAATGTAACTTCACACCACATTTCCCGTATCAGTTTATTGCGGAAATTTTAAAAATAAAACCACATCCTGCATTTTTCTCTTGATAAAAATGTATTCAAATATGTACAATAAAAATTTACCAGACAGTACCTGGTGTCAAAAACAAACAGTTATATGTAGTCAATTAAAACAATATCAAAAGCTATTCAACAAAAGTTTAAATATGTTAATTCTATGACATATCAACTAGTATAGTTTAGAATTAATACAATATTTCCGCATGGACATCTGTTACTTAAATATCAGGATTGTCTAATATAAAATATTTTTCTAATAATAAATGTTCTTTTCTCAGATTTAAAAGATAAAAAAAATAAGAGATGTATATTTCTAACAATGTTTTAAAATAGTTTACTAAATTGAGTTTAGCTTGAGGATTCAACAATACGAAATTTCTTCTCTTATAGATACTTAATCTTGCTATATTTTAAAAAATTAAAACCGTTACTTTTCTTCAATAAACCCATTAGCATCGTTTGGTCAAAATCAAGCGTGTTTACAAAGGTATCATCAACGTTGCACATAAAATATATTGAAAAATCTTTCAGAAAATCAGTGAATTGTGACAGATTGGCACAATTGATAAACATATGTTCTAAATCTTCTCTAGATTGTTTACACACCGGACAAGTGTTTTTATAAGACATGTTACATTTCAAAACTTTAACTTTAGTAAACAAAGTTCTATGAAGTACTTGAAAATTCAGTTCTTTGCATTCACCTGGCAGGATATGTAAATTTGAAAAACATATAACACTTTGAAAGTTTTAATTCTGGATATTGTTCAATCCAATAAGATTCTGATACAGGAGAATTTTTCAACCATTTTTATTAAGAGATCATAAAATGTTCGAGTACTTTGTGGCATAGGAACTTGTCTATCTTAAACAGAAAAAGAATAACAATCTGCAGCTATTTCAAAATTCTTTGCAACTGGATTGACATGTTCATTGATAAAATGTACCCATTCAGGGGGCAATCTATAAAATTTGCAGACATCATCGTATTTCAGATCAGGATCTTTCTCAGATAAAATTTCATGGATTGCAATAAATTTCAAAAACCAGCAATTACTTCATACGTTAAATGTTTAACTTGTGTTATTCCTGCAAAAGTGAAAGGTTTATAATTTAATAATTTACCGTCACTTTTTATACTGGAGTTAAAAAATAATGGTATCTCATGAATATTGTTTTCATTAGCTTCAAAGGCAACATAAGTTTTCATTTACCTCAATGCAAGCAACATTTCTCGAACGAAAAAAAGGATGTTTTGAATAAGAAGACTGTATCAAATCGCAAAGTAAAATTTCTTTTCCAAGATTCATGTTTTCTATTTTCGAAAAGAAGTTTGTACAAATATTTTTCCACAGAGCAGAGTAATTCG